GGGGGGGGGGAGGGGGGGGAAGCATGGGGGGGAAGATAGGCCTCTCTGGTATGAGAGGCGTGGGGCTGGCTGCAGGCAGGTATTCAGCCCAGCCGGGGCTGCATTCCTTTCCGAAGGAGGCCAAGGCATTTCTGATGGGGAGATCAAGATGTTAAAAAATATGTATCTGGGAAGAAGGGGGGAAGAAAAAAAAAAAAAAAGAGATAGTAAGGAATGCCACAGGAAAGAAGTTAAATCTTCAAAGATAAATTAATTCCACATGTGGGTGAAAGCTAAGTTATCCTACTACTACTAGAAAAAAGTTCCTCTAAAAACCATGTAGTCTTCTACTCTGACTCAGGGGGATGTGCAGTCCAAGTGACCTTTCCTAGGTCCTTGGTGGGCTTTTGGATCGACTGTGTAAGGGATGCAGCTCTTATAACTATGACTTGAAACCATCTCAGGTCTTGAGAGCACACCAGAGGACCACGAGGCACAGGGGTGCAGGATGCTCCATGAGGTTCAGGGGTGCAGGACGCTCCCCAGCACAGGGCCACCACCTTGCTGGGAGGTGTCTGTCATCCCTGGCTGCATCCAGGAGGGCTGATTTGCCATGTTCTTCCAGCAGACATGATTGCTGGAGAGGCTGGGGTGGGGGCGGAGGCAGCGGGCCCGTATGAATACGGTACAGGGAGAGGAGGTGTGTCCAAACACAGCGTTTGGAAAGATATAATTAGAGAAAGTGGCCAGAACTAACTCATCTTCCCATCAGTACCAGACTGCAGCACCGATTCACCTACCAACACTTCACGGTGTTTACATATTTTTAAAGTGAGCCCCCACATTCCACCTCCAACACACTGCCCCACAGAAATCCCCACAGAAATTTTTCCTTTAAGAAAACCAATGGGGGCTGTTTTGCTATGTTTAATTTTATTTTTTTTTTTTTTTTTAATTTGACCACCTTACTACAGTAATTGCACCCAGATGCATCAAGTTGCCTGCGAGGGTTTTAAATTCCAGTGGAAAGCGGTGGTCTCCCGCCACAGATGCTGCACACACAAACACACCCCAGCTCCAAACTCAATATGCAAAGTGTTTTCAGCTGTCAGGTAGCAGTTGCTCTGGAGCTTCAAGGAGAATGTCTGATGTTTCTCAGCCTATTCTTATCTTGATGCGATGACACACAGCATGTAACTCTCTATATGCTATGTGAGGCAATGGGCATATCAGAGGTATTATAATGCCATGAAAGTTTCTGGGGCTCTTGGTTATATCCCCTGTTATGAGGGTGCAATTTCAGAGTGCGGGGTTTCTTATTGTCAAACTCCGCTTCTGAGAAATAAAAGCACTCTGGCGGTTCAAACCACAAATTTATACAAGAGAGAAGAAAAATCTGCAAGGAGCATTTTGAGGCAAAACTGAATCGCATTAAGTATTTTCTTGGGACAAACATCACTGAGCAATCATGGGTTTAAAGACAAAAAAGGAAAAAACACACGCATGCACAAACCTGGGGAAAAAAAAAAGTATATTTTAACAAAACTATGTTAATCACAGCTTCCATGCTCTAACTGTAGAACACTGCTTCGAGCATAGCTTTACAATGGCATCATTTACTTTGATAATTGAAGCCAAACTTGGTTCCAATAACTTCACACACAAGGAGCTCCACCGGCGGGTCCTTTCAAAGGCCAGGAAGCACTGGGAGCCGGCAGAAGGCCATCTGCAAGCCCCAGCCTTCTCAAAGCAAGGCCAGTCCCACTGATGTTAGAGCTTAATGAGAGGCAGATGAGTCCACCTTGGACTGAACAAAACCACGTTACATGGCGGCACTGCAAAGGAAGAAGCACTCTGTGTACACAAACTCGTGCGTGATAAATTTAGAAATGCATATAAATAATAGCTGGAATTCCTGGAGCATGGGGCCAGGTCCAGCGCAGCGTGGGGAGGCCAGTTTTAACCACACCACAACCTACAGGGGAGGGGAGTTGCTTTGAAGTACAAGAGGAAGGTTCTACGTTTAAAATATTCTCTGTATTAGGGCTCCAAATATACAACCAGCAGTTTGCATGCATACGCCTGTTTTGCAGCCAGGCGCAAACACTGTGTTTTCACTTGACTTCTCCTGTTCCTGTCCATCACTGATGCTGGGGCCAAACAAAGTCTTTCCAACTTGTATGGTTTCTGTGGTCTCCCGTTTGCCGTGTTTTTGGCCGTGACTCCGTGCCCTGGGATTTCCAGGTGGTCTCCCGTCCAAATACCAGGCTGGCCCAAGATTGCTCTGCTCCCATCATCAGGTGGGCTCAGCCCAGCGCTCCCAGCTTTCACTGGTATAATCACATTGAAACCCACCGAAGCGAATGGCAAGAGCCTGCACAGCGCTTCAAAACCATAACGCACTGAGCAGAAATTCTTTAATTTCATCACACACACGAGGAGGGAGGTGTGGTTTGGCCACTCACCAGGAAAGACTTTGTGCAAGCTTCAGCTCCAATCCTAAACGCAATCCTAAATGCTGAGTGATGAGAGATAACCCATCCGTATGCTCATCAGCTCCTAGCACATGCACGCACAAGTGGCTTCACAAACGGATAGCTCGGGGAGGAACTGAGAAGCATCGCAGCTTGACCTCCCTTCTCTTTGCATTGAGATCTCTTGGCCCCATGGAGAGCAAAAGCTCCTGGAAATTCAACAGAAGGTGATCAAAGCAAAATGCACTACCTAATGTCCTAGGAGGGTAGATCTGACATGTGAGGAGCAAGCTGCATTAATCCCTGGACAAAAAAGGGAAGAAAGAAAAAGAAAAAAACCCAGCACTAATCAGGCAAGCAGCCACCGTTCTGCGAGAGCTCTCCTGGACAAGGCACATGTGGGTTTTTAGCAGGGCCTGCAGCTCTGGTAGAACATTACAGCCAAGCCCTTCCAGCACTGAATACCAACAAAGGCTGAGAGATAAAAGCATCAAACGTCCCCCTCCTGGAAAGCAAGCGAAGGGCAGCAGTTCAAACCAAGTTCTGGAGAACAGCAGATGCTCAGGAAGCAACATTCAGGCATGAGATGAGGATCCCACAACCCAAGTCCTCCA